CACAAATTAACATTGATTGAAACTGTCTGAAGACATACACAATAACAAGAATTGGTTCAACTAGACGACAAAATATGTTGGACATAAAAGCAAAAAAAAAAAAAAAAAAATTAGTTTTAAAACAGAAAAACAAAGAAAAAAGTACTACACACTTAAGTAAATACTTATAATTATGTTCAGGGTGTAGTATTTTACTTTAAAGATACATATATGACATGACATCTTGTAATGATGAAAATATTAAACATTTTTCTCTTATGTGTAATTAATTATTGTTTTGCTGCATATGCAACATCAACAACAATGTCAACGTTTTTAAACTATTTTTTTGTAATTTAAACATGTTTGACCACTTGAATATGGTAATTGTACAGAAAATGTCATAAAAAAAAACTTTTCAATACATTTATGTAAAAATAAGCATTTTTATGTATGTAGAAGGGTTTTACATATATACATGCATATGTAAGTATGTTTGACACCAAAGCCAGGGATCATTTTACATTAACAATGACGATGATGACCATAAAAATACAGCCTTAAAACATTAAACAAGTTTGTAACAAACATTTACTGAACAATAATGATCTGTACAGAAAAATATGATTAATTTGCTGGAAAAGTAAAAAATGTATTTTACATTGTTACATATTGTTGATATTTTAACATTAATATGTATTTTTTGTGTGTATTGTTGAAAAAATTTATATATTGTTGCTCTTTAACTGATGAGAGCTATTTGTCAATATGATTTTTTTTCCAGCATTAACTTTATTTTGGTACAATTTACTTAACTAAGCCCCGGGTTATTGTTTTAAATATCTATTAAGAAAATTACAGAACAAAACAAAAAACATCATAAAAAATGTATATAAAAAAGTATAACAGAAAAAAATTGACACATTAAGACTTATCAAGCCATTAATTGTGAAAGGCAGAATACACATAAATTTATTAGGGCTGGACAAATGATTAATTTTATAGGCAAAAAAAAAACGAAAATTACAATATTTCAGCATAACAAATTTTGCTTCAGGCAGGCTATTGTTTTCGTTATGCTTATTACCAAAAAAAAAGATAAAATTAAAATCACTACCAAACTCCCTTAAAATTTGAACAATTTTAAATTAAATGTTTAACAGTAATCAACATCCCTTTAAAAATTTCTATAATTACAAATAATTAACACAAAAAGAGACCCTTTTATTTAGTTAAGAAAAGTGACATATATTTTTGCCAACAATAAAAACAACACAATTTCTATAGAAAAAATTGCAACACAAAAAGAGATATGGCTAAAGTTGTATAATACTATAAGATCTTGGGAACCCCTAGTACGCCATATTTTTTTTATTCTGTATTAACAAGCAGCTACTGCTGCAATTGTTCATTCAACCATTCATACTTTCATTCATTTCAACATTCATTCATTCCTGCCACACAGGCTTTATACATATATGCAGGCATTCAATAAAAATGGTAGTAGTGCTACTGCAGTTACATGCAACACTACATATTACCACTTAAAGCAGGGAAGCTACTACAAAAAAAAAAAAAAAAAACGCAAGTCAATGGTGTCCTTTTGTTTAAGACCGTAACAAAAAGTAACAGAAAATATGACATGTCATATATATATGTATATATTCACTTACATAAAAGAGTTTTCCAGCATTATTAAACATTATAATAAATTCAATTGATTTTGAAAAAAAAAATTGTCTTAGACCCCTTGCAATATAGGTACGAGTGAATAGTGACTCTGCGGAAATGCTTGACAATAAATTAACAATACAATGAAAAAATTGTTTAAGTGAAAACAAAAGGTCATCTTTAAAATCTTTTTCCCTTAAAGCAAAATAGTTTTCTTTAAATAACACGACCTACCGCACATAATCCCAAGATTTTTGTCTACAATTTTTCGAAAACAATGACACTTTTTCTTTGTATTATTAATAATGAAATTCAGGTTGAATAGCATATTATCTGATATTTGATTTTTCTATACATACATATGTATTTCCTTTTTTTGGTTTCTTTAGTAGTTTAAAGTTATTAGCATGAAAAACAATAAAATTTAGTCTTTACTATGTGTGTTAGTTTTACAACCCTTCTTTAGCAACAGCTGTTTAATTGTATTGTAATTTATGCAAGATTTCTTTTTTTTATAAATATTCTAGTAATTTATTTTCAAATATGCTAATTTTGGGGTCTATTGGAAAGGTTAAGAAACAAGCTGTTTGAAAAAACTTGTTATTTTAAAGAATTTTTAATTTTTATTAATTTAATACGCAATTTGCAATTCTAACATGTTGCAACATGTTTTCAATTATAAACAACAAATATTTGGAGAGATTTCTAAAAAGAGGTTCTCTAGGTTTTTGTAAAAGATCACCAGAACTTAGAGACAACTTTATAGCTAAGAAAGTTTTCTTTCTTAGTAAAAAAGCTAAGCTAAAACTCTCTTTGCTTCGGTGTTGTTAGCATTTTAGTTATCTGCGTGACTACAACTATATATTCTGTATCTCAAATAGGTTCTCTAAGGACTTTATCAAAACCTAGAGAGAACTTTGAAAGCTTACAAAGTTTTCTTTAAGTAAAAATACCAACAAAGTTCTCTTTGTTTACTTAAATATAACTCTCTATGCTTCGGTGTTAGTTGCTTTTTAATTGCTCTCTAACATAGAAGCATCAGCACGGCTGTTTCATTCTAAATACTTTAATCTACTTAATACTTGAAAAAAGTCATTTATTTTTTATAAATTTTTTAAAAAATTAAAACAGCAATCACATTTTATTGCCCTCATTAAATAAATTATTAATAATCATAATAATGCTACAAAAATTTAATGTATTAATAAAACTTTGCAATTAAATAGTAATAATTTTTTAATGCATTCATTTTGTTTTATTAATTTCCCTGTTTTTCGGAAACATTGACATAATTAAGATATAAATTCTTAAGTTTATGTTCATGTCGTTTGTTTATTTTTTCTATACTTTGTCTTGAACCAAAAAAAAAGAGAAAATAAAAATCTTACGAAATGTTATAAGCCCCCTGAGTTTTGCTTGGTTGTTTATAAAACTACTTACATCTATACATATGTACGTTTTTATGGATTTTTTTCTAACTTTTGCTTGCAATAAATAATGTCAACTAAAGATGTTAATGATGATGGGGAGGAGTAGGAGGTGGCAGGCTGTCGCTAATGTTTTGCAGGTCTTAACAAAATGAAGGTGGTATTAGCATTTGTATTTTGTATTTAACACCCATCAACTGCATAACAAATCTAGAAAAAGAGCTAAAATATACTTAACAAATTGTAGGCACTTAAAGCATTTGGAGCATGCAACTACGTTCAGGGTGGCATTATCAACGTTGAAATAAAAACACTTTTGCTCTTAACCAATTAAAAGGCTAAATAATCACCACATTAACTTAGCCATAAAAAAACATAAAAACAACAAGTCAAAAATATACATATATAGTTTTCAAACATACAAATATATTTTTTCTATTTCAAATTAACACTCGCCCAAAAGGGGGAAAACTATACACAGCAGTAGCTAGCAGTTTATGCTGCATTTAGAATGTTATTTGAATTATATATATATTTCAATATTAACACAACAACAAAAAAATATATAGCTTTTAATATCAAATATATTATTTTGTTCTAATTTTGAGTTTTTTTTTCTATAGCTGTTCTAAATTTACAGTGAAATAAAGAATAAAAGAAAAATCTATTTGAAAATGAAAATGTTAAAAATGTGTTTGTTAGTTGCTTGTCTTAGTTTTAAATGAAATGATTTATGTTTTAATATTTATAGTTTGATATATAGAAGAGCATCTTTATTTTTGCTATTTTTATAATATATAGGGGTGTTTAAGGGGGGCTCCTAAACCTATGAAAATAGAAGGGAAATATATCATTAATTGTAGTTTATAGTTGTCATTTTGTCGGCTTTATTAAGGCAACTTTTAACATGTTTATTTGGTGTTAGATTTTGCAGTTTAATGTTTAAATATTTGAGTTTTGTATTTAATGTTAAATTTTGAAAGATATATTTATCATTATTGTAATAAACAACTCAAGAGTTGAGAATATTTAATTCTTTTAAGATTTATGACTTGTTAACATAGCAGGCCCTACTCATGATATTTGGTTTTATTAATAAATAAATTTTGAGTTTTATAATAATTAACAAATTTGATAATAATTTAATTATGTGGTAATTAATGAATATCATAGTTTACATTTGGTTACTATGTGGGCTTTTTTAAAAGAAATTATCTTTATCTTTATGTAATTGAATCTTCAATTTGCTTAAAAACTATTGCAACTAGCAACTATACCTATCCTTAAGTACTAGTCACAGCACTAGTTATATTTAAGTACAATCTTTCTCTCTCTCTCTCTCTCTCTCTCTTTTCCTTAAAAGCTTAAATGCTTTGCACTACCTTTAAAGCAGTGATAGGCAGAGAATACAAAAAAAGCTTTTCGAACTTTTGTTGCTTAAAAAGTATTGCAACTAGCAACTATGCCTATCCTTAAGTACTAGTCACATCACTAGTTATGTTTAAGTACAATCTTTCTCTCTCTCTCTTTTCCTTAAAATCTTAAATGCTTTGCACTACCTTTAAAGCAGTGATAGGCAGAGAATACAAAAACAGTTTTTTAAACTTTTGTTGCTTAAAAAGTATTGTAACTACCAACTATGCCTATCCTTAAGTACTAGTCACATCACTAGTTATATTTTAATACAATCTTTCTCTCTCTCTTTTCCTTAAAAGCTTAAATGCTTTGCACTACCTTTAAAGCAGTGATAGGCAGAGAATACAATAATAGCTTTCTGATTTTATACATGTGTGAGCATAAGTATGTGTGCAAACAAGAGTGAAAGAGGCTCTTTGCCTAACACTGTTCTTAAGCTTTTAAATTATTTTAAACACAAATTTTTATATTTTTTTATTAATTTTTCCCTTTTTTTCTTTATTGCAGTTTGTTCAAGATTGGCATCATTGTATGGATTTCGAGGATTGTAAAAATGTAAGTATTTCCATAAGCTTTGCAATAAACACCTATTTAAATGTTTATTGTTTTATTAAGTTATATATATTTTTATTTCGTTATTATATTTTCTATATATTTCACTGTATTATTGTAATAAAATATGCCCCCTCCCCCCCTAAATGTTAGCATGATATATATAAAAAAAACTTAAATGTTTATAGTCCCCTTTAAACCGTTAGAAAACCTTAAAATTTTCCTCAAGCACTACAAGTATGAAAATCTTTAAAAATTTGCTAAAATTACCCCAAGAAAAACTAGAAAAAAATTTTAAATTATTTAAAAAAAATATTAAAATATTAGGGTATTTCATTTAATATTTTGAGACTTAAATGATTTCTCAATTTAATTTTTTAATAAATTCTTAAACTTTTTAACTTTTGCCCTTTAAATACACAAGCCCATAAATTTGTTACCCCTTTAATGACATCCGCGTTGAAAATACACACACACATATAAAACATAAATCCCCTTTTTATAACAATTGCATGCCTCATAGATAAAGTATGAACAGAAAAAAAAGAAACAAATTCTTTGAAACACATTTCCTTTTTCTCAAAAACTAAATCCATTTATACATGATCAAACAAGACCACCGACTAGATACAATAAATATATTTGCAACTGCACTCATTTCTGTTGTGATGTTTTTTTTGTTCATTCTATATGTTGCAACAATAATAAACTATAGGTTTTTGCCTTTAAATGAAATGTATGAATGCATTTGACGGTAAAGTCATTGTATTTTTTCCATATTTATATGGCTAGTGCAATGGTATAATAAAAAAAAACCTAGTAAATTTACAATTGTGTTACCAAAAAGCCGCTCATTGGTATAAACATTTCAATAGTCGTTGTCATCGTCGTTTTTGAAAAAACTATTATAAGAAAGCAAACAAATGTACGTAAAATTTTTTTTAGAAAATAATAAAAATATATGTAGCAGAATTGGGTCAATTGAAAATTTATCGATAAAACCAAAAATAATAATAAAAAAAGAACAACTAAAACCATACCTAGGGCAGTTTTGCCTTAAAATATAAGGAAAAAACACAGAGATGACTTTACCATGCACAAAAGAATAACAGGAAGGCCTTTTGCTCTTGTTCATAAAAAAGGAAGCTATAAAATACAAAATATTTCTTTCGTTTTTTTTTTTTTTTTTGTTCACTATTTTGTTAGTTTTCTTTTTTTAGTATTATTTCGAGCACTGTGCTCCGTTTAGTAACTAGAGCAATGACTGAAAATATGAACATGCAGCAAGAGAAAAAAAACAAGGTTAAAACTACAAAAATCCCTTATATAGTAACAAGATTTTTTTTCTATAACTGTGTATGTGTTGGTTACTGCGACAAAAAAGGACTCTTATCAGGCCAAAAAATAAAAATACAAAAATTCAAGTGAATATATTTTTTTAACAACATATTTTTAACAAGATTTTTACTTTTTTTGTTAAACAAAATAGTTTTAAATAGAAAAAAATTTTATTCAAATGACATTGAACATATTTTCTATTTAATGAGTACAAGAAAACTTTACTCGCTACAACTATTTTTCAGCCATTTTTTTTCTTATTTTCTAAATTAATGAAAACTCTTAACTTTAGGCAAAAATCCTAACAAAAATTTCAATTACATTAACAAAAGTATTGAATTTCCTCAACAAAATTTGTTTTTAATATTAAAACTTAGTTTCATATAACAAGCTCCCTTAAGCTTTTTGGCTTAATTTAAAGATAATCGGAAAAATTTTTCCTAATAATCTTTTAACAAACATGTGTCTTTCTACAAAAAGATGTTAATCAATATAAGAAAAGGGAATAATATTAAAACTCCAGAAAATGCCACACGTTCAATATTTCAAAAAAAAAAAATAGTTAAAGGGAAATAACTAGTTGTTCATTTTAGTCTTTACTCCCCCAATACTTTTTATCTATATGTTGGATTTTTTTAATTTATCAATAATACTGACGCGTGACTTTTTATTCAAAAAATTGTTTTTTTCTTACTTTTTATCAGTGAAATCTATTAATTTTTTTTTCTTATTTTCCTTTTTTTTGTGATAAAAGGCTTATTTATAAAAGAGGAATAATTTACAAAACATTTTGTCACATTTTACAAATATTTATTTTAAATTTAACCAATAAAACTTCCTTTAGTTTTTTTCTCAAACATCAAACATATAGATATAATGAATACATATGTATATACATATACATATGTATGTATGTATGTATTTGTGTATCTCCCTGTGTAATTGTAGGCTTAATGATGGTATATGATGGGAATTTATAATCAGACAGAAAAAGGAGGGAATATCTAGTGTTGTTTAAATAACGAGTAAAACGTAACCCAATTTCGAATAAAGTGAAAAGAGTCATTTTAGGAGAGGATCACAAATCATAGAATCAAACAATAGACGGAATTCGTCTTGATAAGAAACGAGCTTAAATCAAAATAAAAATCTTGAAAAAAATACTTTATTCAAATGTTCTGAATTTCGTAATCAAGTGGGAATCGGTCTTAAATTAAGAAAATAATTCTTGAAATAATTACATTTTGTTATCATTTCAATCTTGATCATACTTAAATCAATCTCATTTTCAACTCAATTTAAGAATGTATTCGAGGCCGACCATATAATACCCTACACCTGTTACAAAAATAAAATGTGATTTAGTTCAGTTCAGGGGTTCAATTGTATGGGGGCTAGGAGAAATAATGGACCGACGTTAACCATTTTCAATAAGCTTCGTCTCCGATACCATAGAAGATCATGTGCCAAATTTCATTGAATTATCTTGAAAATTGCGACCTGTAGTTTGATTACAAGAGCGGGGATAGGTGATATAATCGACCAATCTTAACAATTTTCAATAGGCTTCGTGACAATAGAATTACATGTACCAAATTTCATTGAATTATCTTAAAAATAGTAGTTTGATTACAATTACGGACGGACATAGCTAAATCGACTCAGAAAATGATTCTAAGCCGACTGATATACTTTAAGGTGGGTATAGGACCAATATTATTATGCGTTACAAACATCAGCATATACCCTACCCACTAAAGTGGTGTAGGGTATAAAAAGTACCTTTTTGGTGCAATTATAAAACCGATTACTTTACCCTTTTAAATAAGCATTAAAACAACAGCTCCTATACACAGACCCATACTATTGTCATACTTCCTCAAACAAAGTACACACACAAACTAACTAACCGACTAATATCATATATGAGATGACATTTATTACTTTCACAACTTTTTTTTTCAAATAATTCCTATAAAAATGTATAAATTGTTTTCTATTTTTTTTTTTTTTTTTTGGATTTTAAATAAATTCATAGTATTATTTGCTTAATTTAAACAATTGTTTTGTGATATGGCTTTGTTTGTGTATGTGTGTGGCATAAAATAAACACTTCAAAGCTATGACAGGAATAAATATATATATATATATATATATATATATATATATAGATTTTTTTTTAATTTTTGGGCTCGAAGGGGAGAAAAACAAATGAAAGTATTAAATAATGTATACAAAAACATTTTCAATTTTTATTACAATTTTCACTGACACACGTTGTCAATATTTGCAGTCGTTGTTAGTTGACTGATGATGATTTCGTTGATATATTTATATGTCGAATGTGTTTATTTACTCTAATATACCCCTTTTACTATATATTACAAAAATAAAATTTGATTTTTAGTTTATTCGAAACAAATCAAAACAAATCCATCATCGTGTTAATAATAATCAAAATCTATATATGTATACATTTCACACTTGAAAAACAATTAAAAGATCATCTCTAAACTATAACAAAATCGAAAACATACGGGAATTATAGTATTGCGTATTAGAACTGTTTAAATAAAACAAAAATATTTAGTTATTGGAGCAGTTGGTTGCAACAATGAAATTAAATAATTACTCGTTGTGTTTTAATACTTTTCTTTTTTTCAATTTATTTGTTTAAGTGTTGATGGAAATCAATGGAAACAAATATATATAGAAAAATCTTTATATAAACAATTGATGGTGGTGTCATTATGGTGGAGTTACAAAATATTGAAATATTTTCTAGGAATTTTTAATTTCATTACTTTTTTGTTGTTGTTGTAAACTCTTTATTATTCAAGTGTTGGTATATAAGTGGTGGGTCTGTCGTCCCCCCCTTCTATTTCTAATTGTTGTTAATCATTAAAAATGTTTTCAAAATTTATGGATCCTGTAGACAAGGGGTAAATTACTAAAACATTTGTAAACTAAACATTTGTTCTTGTTGCACCAGGGGGATTTCTTTAAACTGTTGTTAATATTTAACAAAATTTTCTTTTTGTATTTTTTTTTTTCAAATTTATGTCGAAATATTAATCAATATTTCTATGGTATTTGTTTTGGTTTCTTGTAAAATCTTTTAATGAGCTTTTAAATGATGTTTTGGGTATTTTTCTTTTGGTTTTTTTATTTATTAAATATAAAGATGTCTGTCAGTTTTGAGTAATAATTAAGTGAACTTATTAACCTTAGTTGGCTAGTGATATGAAACAGATAACCCAACATGTCTATCAAATGTCTAAATTTTTAAAAATACAAATCTATATTTATAAACTAGAGCATATGAAGAATACTTTGTAACATGTGTTTGAAAAAAAAATATTTGTAAAAAAATTTTGTTACACTTATGTTGCTTAAGATTAAGATCCTTTTTTTAACATTGGTTTTAATTAAATTTTCATGTTTTTTAGTTTTTTTTCTAACTACAAGTATTCAGTCATTTTACTGCACATGTTGGCATTTTCAATATTTCAAAATGTTTGGGAATAGTAAACGTCGTTTAGCACTTTGTATACAAAATGACAAATTGGTTTAGACATGGGGATATTTTTTCATCTCTTTGCTATATTCTTCTCTCTAGGTCATAAAACTAACACTTGAAAATATTTCTTATAGTTTTTTTACGTTTTTTTTTTTTCGAAACTAGTATTTGTTTGTATATGTAGTATAGTTTGACAAATTGTCCAATATGACTTTGGCTATAACATGTGTAATATTTATTTTTTTTTTTTGGGAATTTTTTTTTCACTTACACATTCAACAATAATGTCTTGTCAGCATTATAGGACACAAATAACTATGAAATGTCTGAAAAGATTATGTGGTTTGTTGGTCACTTGTACTGGGTTGACATCAAAATAAAGTGTCTTGTGTAATTTTGAAAACATTTTCATAGTGTCTAATAAATTAGGAGGGCACAAATTAGGCAGTAATAATTTTTAAGGCAGCAACAGCAAATTAGTGAATATAGCTCAAAATTTGTATTGCCATGTAAGCTGTAATGAGCATAAAAAGGGATTACTATGAAAACTTAATTTAAAAAGCCTTTAAATCTCTAGGATTAATAGTTTAATACATATAGCAATTAGTTTCATTGCAACAATGAAATTATTTGTTATTTTGTTTTTTTTTTTTTTACATTACTGCTAGTTTAACAGAGATTTCTATATTAACAAATTTATATAGTTTGTTAATCAGTTTCTCATCAAATTTTGTTCATTACCTCATAAACTTAATTTTTCTAAATTTTGTAATCGTTTTTTTTATTATGTTCGCTTTCAACTAAACTTCCATTTTACATATTTTTACAACAAACTATAATAATAATATTTTTTATTTACTATTAATTTATGCATACTTAGTTTGTTAATTAACCATTTAAATGGTGTAATAAACAATATTTGTATAAATTATAAACCTCTAAACAAGTACGATATCTGTGTAAAACAACATTTGTATTTGTATATTTATGTTAATATAATTTCAAACATGTATGTATATGTATAACCAATATTGTGTTGCCCCAAAATCAATATGTAATATGCTTGTGTGTTTATTTTATAATACAATTTTGGTATTTATACAGTTGTTGTATGTGGAAGCTGGCTGTATTAGCGGTTTCAGAAAAACACATCTATATACATATAAACTAATAAAACAACCTTGTTAATTATTAGAAAATGCGATCAAATCCCAATCCAATTTGCATAAATTATTTAGTCTTAAACCAAATAACCCATGTAGGCATAGAAATACAATAATCAAATAGACCAAAACATAATTTATTTAACATTAATTTCAATTTAAATTTCATAAAATAACAAAAAAGTTTTTTGTATTTTTTTTTTTTGTTTTTCAAAAATGTTACAAATTAAATTTTAAACTTTTTTTCTGCTATACATTTTTTTACATAGTATTTTGTAACTTACTAATCATCTTCATTCAATCCTCCTCCAATTTGATTATGTGTTTTTTGGTTTCTTTTTTTCATTTTCTTTTGATAAAAGTGCCAGTAGTAGTGGTTCATTTGGAAGACTTTTTGATTTGCATAAATTTTTCCAAAACGAAAAACGTGTTGACATGTTGTACAAGCCATAAAATTGTTTAGTTTACTATTAGTTTTTTTTTCTTATTTTCAAACAAAATATTTATGAGCTCAAAAAAAACATATATATTTTTCTACATTTAAACAAATCATGTTATCAACTATGTTTTAGGTTTTTGGGGGATTTCGTTTTTGTTCGTTGTAAATGTTAATATCTAAATAGCTATTTTGTATGTGAAATTTATTTCATTACGTTTAATTTAAAATGTTTTCCATTATATAGTTAACTAGTTAATTTGTAAACCGTTACAAGGTTTAAGTTTCTGTTATTTTATGCTGAACAGTTATAATTTTATAAAGAAAAATAATTTGAAAATTCTTTGTAAAAGATATATTGACCTGTTATGGTTAAAATTAAGTTATGTTTTGTTCTAATTATTGAAAAAAAGTAAATCAATATTTAAATTGTTTTAAGTTTTTCCCTGGAATCTGAAATATAATATTTCTAAAGAATTTTTAATGGAATAAGCAAGATATAGCTCTCAAGTTCTTAAGCACATTGAAAAAAACATGTTGCTAGAGCAAATAAACATGTTGCCAACATAATAATTACATTTTGGTCTTGCAAACTTGCAAAATTATAGCAGTTTATTAATGTTGAAAATCTTAAAGGAATAGTCAACATTATACTGTTAGCAACGTGTTGCTTAACATTTGAATGTCTCCTCTTTATAACTAAACTATACTCAGAGGGAAAAATAAATATACACGTCTGGTATCAAATTGACACCAAACTGTTTACAATATTTCAATACCATCCGTTGTCAAAGTATATACATACATACGTACGAAAACACTATGTAATGTTGACAACATTGCAACAACTCGTTGTTGAAATCTAAATTTTATACACATCCGTTGTCTAAATGTTAACAAACGTGGTACGCTTACTATTGACAAACAATCCGTTGCCTATAGTGAGCTTACGACGTTTGTTAACATTTAGACAACGGATGTGTATAAAATTTAGATTTCGACAACAAATTGTTGCAATGTTGACAACGTTGCGTTGTCAACATTACATAGTGTTGTCGTACGTACGAATGTATATACTTTGACAACGGATGTTATCGAAAAATTATAAACTCTTTGGTGTCAATTTGGTATCAGGCGTGTATATTTATTTTTCCCTCTGTGTACAAATTTACTTGGTATTAAAGCATATTTACTAGGAAAATTATTATGAAAACTTTATTTTTTTCATTTAATGACAACAAGTAAAACTTAAGTCTAGACAACACTCCCTAATTTAGCTTAGCACTTAGTTAAGGCCTTTATACACTTTTTTAATTACAAAGTTTTATTGCATGCCTTTTCTTTGTATTGTCTTACATTTTAATTGCAATTCCCATTTATGCCCTGCACTTTTTATCTGTTCACCTTTTATGCATTTTATTTAATTATTTCTTATACAAAACTTATATAATTTCACATATATTTTACTGCAATTTCATTTAATGTGTGTGTTCTTTTCTTTATTTAATCATGCATATCATTTATACATAATAAACTTTTGATGTGTTATAACAGAAAAATAAAAAAAAATAAAAAATATTTAAAAATGAAATATCAATTAAGCATAATTTTGAATTCAAAGTCAAAAAAAACATCTTCTTTTTTACGTTACAGATGTGCATCACGCCACCTAATATCAATAGTTATATCCCAGAAGCATTCAGTTTTCTGGTGAGTGCCAAATATTAACCGCAAAAACAAAAATCTAAAGCTTTTGTTTAATTTTGTGCAAATCCATTATTATCACATACAGCTTTTTTGTTTGTTTGATTATTTTTTTCATAATGCCTCCTCATTATCCTTGTTAATCCTTTACACTCATGTTCATCCATCCTTTTATTATCCAAAAAACAACTGCTGCTTTTTTGGTTTAAACTAATTTTTATTAACGTTTTTTTTAATTTATGGTTTGGTTTATTTGTGCTTTTCTTGGTTTTATTTTAAATTGCTTATAAACTTTTAAGGCAACATTTTTAGTGCTAATGTTTATACAAACATTGTTTAGCAACATTGTTTAAAAAGTTTTTTAGGCTTGCTTTCTTAATTTCTTAAGCTTTTTTATTATATCGCTTTGTTATTTCTAATAAATTGTTTTCGAAATTACCAATACTTTTTAAGGCAACATTTTACAATGTTGCTCAACATTTGTTTATAAACATTTTATACCAAAAGCTTTTAGTTGTAATTTTAAAGCATTTCCTTTTATATTTTATAAAATTTTTAGATTTTTTTTCCGCAAAATTGTTCCAGCAACAATGTTTCTAAACATTAAAATGTTGCTATTTAAAAATCTATGAAGTTTTAATGAAAATTCTTAGAATTTTTTATAAATATTTATAATGTTAGTGTTTGCTAGAGATCATTATAGCTTTTTTTCCTCTAATTATAAACTCATTTTAACAATTTTCTCTACCTTTGTGATATCTTTTCTAAACTATATACTACAGTCATGTCATGTTGCTTTAACGCCTAATGTCTTAATTGTGTTTTTTTTTTTTTAACTCTTTTATATTATTCTTTATTTTCTACTCTGTAAAACTTTTAAACAAAAGAAAGAAAAGATTTTCTAACATGTTAAATTATATATGTATGTATATGCCTTTTTTATTTGATAAATATTATAAATCATTTTTATGGCTGATGTTGCATACAAATTCTTAAAGTCTACACAGACATTTATGCATATAAACGTATTTCAAAAAATAAGCTTACAATTGAATTTTAAAGTAATCGCAATCCTAATGGTGTCATAAAAAGTAACGACTATGACGTATAAAAGATGCATACATTTCAGACAACTTTTTTGTATGTATAATAGTACAAAAAAAAATGTTTAGAATTTTTTTCTTACCATAAAATCGTATAAAACTAAAACATATTTTTTTATATGTATATTTCATTTTTGTACAAAATGGCGCCATTTATGAAGTTACAAGAAAATTTCTTTTTGAAATTCATTAAAAAACTTAATTTTTTTGTTTAGCAACCTTTAGCTAAAAAGAGCAAAACTAATATAATACAACAATTTGCCTTAAAAAAAGTTTTTCTTTTTACCTTTTTTTTTGTAGCTAAACAAAGACTAAAACTTTAAAACATGTTATCATATATATTTTTTGCTAAACAATTATAAAACATAGAGACATATAGTAAATGTTTGACTCCCTGAAACAACTGTTGCCATATTTCGGGAAAAAATCGTTAACACTGTTGTCTATGTATGAGTTTTTTTATTCCTGAAGTTCTTTTCGCAAAAAAAAAAAAAACTAAAACCTAAAAGAACGAATGAATAACTTGTTTCAAACAACTTTGCCATTTCTATGTTGTATGTTTTAACATTAAAATTCCCGGCTTTTAGTTTTTTTAGGTTTGTTTCGTTTTGTTCAACTTCATGGCGGGGAGATTTCTAACCCACTCCATTATATATAAATAAATACGTATTATATATATGTTTCATATATGTAGCAAAATGTTAGTTTCAAGCAACATTTTCCTCTTGAACACAGTTTGTTGGGTTTTTTATAAAGATTTTTTTTTTCACACATTTGCAAACTCATGGAATATTAAATTTTTTGGCTACTTTTTCATAAACACATTTTCACAAAACAGATTTCCCCACTTAAAAGGGTCTCTTTAAAAAATACTTGATCTTCAAATTTATTACAAACTAACAAACTTGTCAAAGTATGCTAAAAGTCAACTTTAAGTAGAATTTACTCTAAATTACTATAATAATAAACTTTATCACAAAAAATTCTCTGCAGTTTCAAAACCCCAATTATTCCGATTAAATTCCGATATTTTATTTTGTATAGTACATTATTTACTTTACACCTCCTGGGTAATCTAACATTTCGACCTTGCTAAACTTCAGAACTGCTGGGTTATTTTACTTAGTTTTTCCATTTTAATCTTTATGGTTTAATGTTAAACCGTATGTTTTTTCCCATTTTCAAATTATGTGCATTTAAAATGATGACATTTTCTTTTATGCTCATCTTTCCATGGCAAAAAAAAAAATATATGGGTTTGTTGTTTTTCTGTTAAAGCGCAAAATACTACAACAATTTTGCAAATAAAAGTTTTGAAAATATCGCCACCACAAAAAATAAACTTTTGCCGACAAATTGTTTAAAAGCGCAAAAACTATAGTTATAAAATTAGTTTTCTACACAAAATAACTAAAAATTTCTTTAGCTGATAATTATGGTTTAAAATCTATTTTTGTTTGCAACATGAACTTTTGAACTTTTGTAGCAAAAACTTGAAAATAAAAGGTTAATTAAGTTTAAAGATTGCAAAAGGAAATTTCAACACCTTAAAACAATACAAGAATTTTAATACAATATTTTTCCATAAATTAATATATTAAAGCAGTTGTTTTCCCTCCTTCCCCTCCAGTATTTACTTATAATTTGCTTTAATATGTAATTAAATTTCAAATATTTTACCATTAATACTAATTATTTTAATTATTTAATTTTCTTTTCTAGTGTTGGAATAATTGTGATCAACAATTGGGTCCATTTCCCTTAAATATCAATTCAGCTTTGCGTCAGGGTTCCTTAGTGATAACAGACATTGCTTGGGATCAAGCCATTACGAATGCATCAAAGCAATGTTTAGTTACTTGGGAGGTCTCTGGAGGCGGTCTAATGGGCAACCTATTGACTGATAGTTCTACTGTTGAATTATCCCTCTGGTCAGATACAGTATATCACGTACAAGTTACGTGCAAACATAAGGTAAGTTTTTTTTTGATAAAATAATAATAATAATACCAAAAAAAAGGCAGTATGGAACAAAACAAACTTAACAGTTTTGCTTAAATTTTTACAAAACCTAAAAACTAGTTGTAAAGCTTAATTGGTTATAATATTTTAGACTTTACTGTAACAGCTTAATGTTTAAGCTTTAAGTTAAGCGCCATCATCAAGATGATGTTGTTGCTGATGATGATGATCTAACCTTGGTGGTTTTTTGGTGATGGCGGCTTCATTAGTATAAACATCTTCTTTTGCTTTTAGTTACCTAACCCCTTGTTCTATATTTACTTTAGCAATAGTCTAGCAGCTATCATCAAGCATCTGGGAGTTAAGACTAGCTAGTTCAACAATATAAATTTTATTGTATACATTATTTCTTCTTTTAAGTTCATAAAATTCTTCATAATAGATGATCGTGATCATCATAATTTTTTCAGAGAGTTTTTTTTATTTCTTTACTCCACCAACCAACAAAAATGATCATGTTGCAACATTAAACTTGATTGTTTAAAGTAAGAAGATGAAGAAAGAAAAAAAAGAAACAAAAATTCCCATTATTCAATTTTTATATTCAATATACCTTGCACGAGACCACCTTCAAAATTGTGTTTGTTGCAAAAAAAAGAGGAAAATCTGTTCTTTTTGTAGTGACCATATGCAGTCTCTAACTCCAGGGTTTTTATGGTATGGTGTGAAAGCCATAGTAATTGGCTAATTACATCAATGTTCTTCTAGCTGTTGACAATTTTGTTACAAACTTCAAACATGCATTTTTTTTCGTTTATTTGCTTTTCTGCTATAGCAGCACACAGAAATAAAAACTTAAATTAAGCTTTTGCCATAAAATGTTGCATGATAACTTTAGTCGTCGTCATTGCTGTTGGTGTTGTCCTCCTTATAGCGTGTCAGTTTCCATGATGATGATGATGATGGCATGCAATCATATTGTTGTTGTAGACCAAAACCAAACATTCAATATTATAGCACTCGCTTTAATTTTTATAGTTTTTTTTTTGTTTGTTTTTTGGTTCATTTGGAGTTTAAATACAATTTATTGTGACTTTTCTTTTATTTTCGTAAAACTGAAGAGCGTTTTTTTTTGTCTGTTTGTGTCTGTTTTTATCAATATTCGTAAACGTGTATATATATATTTATATTTTGCGTGTCTAAGATTAGTGGAGCCTACGTTTTTGACATTAACACGCAACAATTTATAAAATAATTTACTAACAACCCGTAAACTTGCTTTAGAAGTATCACTCCGCTTGAACACTTTTGAAATCCTTGTTGTTATTAATGATGTTTTTGTTTCCTTTGTCTTTTTCCACTTCTACTGGCAACCTGCATGGGTTTGTGGTATTTATTGGAGTTGTAAAGAAGCATAAAAATAAATTACGAACAAAAAAAAAAAAGCAAAACTATGGAAACATTAAGATTGCAGGTGGTTTGTTAAACTTGTATTGACATTTGATGATAATAACAAGCAACAATCAATTGATCTTGTCAGTTTTAAATTGATATGTTAGCAATAACTAAAAGAATTAGAAGATAAAGACAGAATAAAAGCGATGGCGATAAACATTCTTAAAATCTTAAACATTTCTTAATAACAAAACTAATTGGAAAATTTCTTATATTGTATAAATCACTAATCATTAACTTTTATTTTATTTACTTTTAGGAAACGGGTGGCATGCGTAGATCTTTCAAATTGATTGTGGATACCCATAAACTAGGCGATAGTTCCGCCACCGGTATGCAAGCCATTGCTATGGATTCTACATTTGGTAGCAAAACTCTACCCCATATCTATGGCGCTGAATCGGTGCCCTCTACTTCGGGAGAAACTGACTCTAGAATGCGTATCTTAAAGGATAGTTCGAAAGACTTCTTGACACCCTACAATCCTAATGTAAATACCAAAACTAGTTCCAGCACTGCCTCCAGTAAAGTTAAAACCCCCAATGCTGCCACTACATCGGCTGATGAAAATGAGGTAATCCCCAGCTTAAGTGTTAAACGTACCAAACTCATTGGTCTGCCAGCAGTAACTGAAACTGAAACCAGTTTTCTAACCCAAACCATGGTATTTGCTGTTGTCGGTTCAATAGTCTTATTTTTGGGCATCATTATCTTGTACCTTATCATGCGTCCTACACGCAAACAAATTTCAGTCATTGATAAGCAAGTGTTAATACAAACCGAAGTGCTGCCCAGTAAATTGCCCCTAAATCCAGCGTCTGTACAGAGTACAGCAACTTTGTCACCCCTCAATGATCAACGTACCACATTACATGTGTAAATTTAGGTGTGATTTTTTTTAAGACTAATTTTTGTATAGTTGTGTGTAAATATTTTAGGGTTTATATTTTTTTTTTTTCTTATTATTTTTTCTCACTTTTTTCGAGTGTATGTGATCATGTAAATACAGCATAGTAAGAAATTTAATTATATAGTAAGTTTACTTTTTAACAATTCAAAGTGTAAATATTTATTTTGCTTAATTTAACGTTTTAAGCTTAAACCGTGTGTTAGAGTGTGAGTGTGAGATTGAGAGTGTGTTAGTGACTAAAACTGATGTAAGTAGTGTAGGAAAAAGAAAAGAGCGATTTGGCCAAATTTACCTGACAGTGTTAATTTATTTGCTTAAACTTTAAAAGCTTTTTGTTGATTTATTTTTTAAGTCTAAATATATAAAGTTAAGTCTTAAACAAGGTCAGATCGTCCCTTCCCCCCCAAACTTAAGCAAACAGACAGACAAACCAACAAACAAACAAATAATATAAAATGCTTCAGTTAATAACTTAAACAATTTAATGTATTTATTTAAATATAAAACAAACAAATAACAATAAAATAAAAATAAAAATAATTTTCAACTTAAAGTGAGTGAGATTTGAGAAATATGTTGAAAAATAAACTAGCATGTAAGATGTCTAGTCCTTTTGTGTAAGAATTATAAAAAGAAAGTCTCAAAGAATAAGTGTAAATGAATGAATGTTTAAAATGTATTCTTAATTTATTTTATAAAACCATAACAATGAAAATCTTTTTAATAAAAGTTTTTCGTTGCTTTTTCTTAAGACACGCTTACAAAAAAACTCCCAGTGTAAAAAAGATTTGTATATTTGATTTCATTTCATCTTTAGTTTTTGTTTTTTTTTTTCAAGCTTTTATGATTTAAGAAATTTTTGATTTTTCTATTAGCTAAAAAAAACACATTTTTGTTTTAAGTATTGTATAAATTTATCAACAACACATGAAAAAAAATCAAAAATATCTTCCAGTCAAAAGCAAATTGAAGAATATTGTAAAATAAGCCAACTGTCTAGAGATATCGAATCAAATAATCAGATTAGCATAAAATTTATAGCAGTTTATATATAAACAAAAATTTAATTTAAATAATATAATAAACTAAATTAAGGATAATTAATTTTAAATCATGTAAATATCAGCCATACAAAACAAACGGTAAAATGCAACTCTTTTGTAACAAAAAATACAAATTAGCATATAAAAAAAAATCAATAATTTAATATTAATAAAAACAAACAGAAAAAAAAAACAACAAAAAAATATATTAATTTATAAAATGTCTGCGTGTGTTTCAAATAAAGTCAAGCAATCATCAATAAAAAAAAATAAATAAAATAAGAAAGTAACTAAACAAAACTAGAAAAAAAAATAAAACAAATTTTTTAAATCCTTAATTCTGTAACTAAAGAAAAAAATCTGTTAAATTTCTTACACAACGAACAACTCTTATTTTTAAGTTCGTTTGATTTCTTCTACTATTTCCCCAAAGGAGGCACACGTTTAAAGACTGATATCCTTAAATTTTAATTTGTAATTCTTTCTCTCTAAAGCTTTGTTATTTTCATTACTAATTTAAACCGTTTTCTTTTTTGTAATCTAAATTTATCCTGAAAAAAATTGTTATTGAATTTATGTTTATTTTTATGTTATTTTTTCTTAACTATCTTAATTGACTTGGCTTTCAGGCTAAGATAGGCTTAATTTATATTAACTACACAATTCTATTATGAAATTAAACAAAAAATAATAATAATAATAAAAAATGAAAATTTAAAATAAATCATTATTCATGTTTCATCAGCAAACAAAACAATTGTAATTAGTAGTTATATTATAAATATTAAAAATAAAAACACAAAAAATATAAAAAAGAAATAAAATAAAAAACAAAAAAATAAAGCGAAATTTAAAAAATTTAAATCAACTTTTTTATTTCATTTAATTTGAAAAAGTGCTACTTAATAAATATGAGAGGTGAGTAATTGTGGTGGTTTCATCAAAACTCGGTTATATCTTTAGGGCTTATGGGCTGGCATTTTTGTGGGCGTTTGGTGAAGAGTTCAACCTTTGGATATTTTAAAATTTACAAGAAATAAAAAGAATTCTATCAAAGCTTTTAAAGCTAAGATATTTAAAGGAAACTTATTTATTATTATGCGAAATTATGTTCTTATGGATAAAATAAGGAAAAAAAAATGCTCTAACAAATCGATGACAAAATTTTGAAATTGATAAACACTCTTCCATGAGTCTATACAATGCACTACAAGAAACACGCATTTGCATATTTTTGTTTCCCTTGTGCTCACTCATTAATAATTTCCGCTAAAAATCAATTTTTATAAGAAAAATCTAAAATCGGATGTAGTTTCTTAAATAACGCTCCAATTGAGAAAATTACGAAAATCTGTCATCACTCATATTTCCCACTAAAAATCGATTTTTATGTGAAAAACCTAAAATCGGCTGAAGTTTCTTAAATAACACTCCAATTGACAAAATAACAAAAATCTGTGATCACTCATATTTCCCACTAAAAATCTATTTTTATATGAAGAATTTAAATCGGCGGTAATTTCTTAAATAACGCTCCAATTGATTCATATTTTCCACTAAAATCGAATTTAATATGAAGAGTCTAAAATCGGCTGTAGTATCTTAAATAACGCTCCAATTGAAAAAATATCGAAAATCTGTGATCACTCATATTTCCCACCAAAAATTGATTTTTATATGAAGAATCTTAAATCGGCTGTAGTTTCTTAAATAACACTCCAATTGACAAAATAACGAAAATCTGTGATCACTCATATTTCCCACTAAAAATCTATTTTTATATGAAGAATATAAAATCAGCTGTAGTTTCTTAAATAAGAAATAACAAATAACGAAAATCTGTGATCACTAAAAACCGATTTTTATATGAAGAACCTTAAATCGGCTGTAGTTTCTTAAATAACGCTCCAATTAAGAAAATAACGAAAATCTGTGATCACACATATTTCCAACTAAAAATCGATTTTTATATGAGGAATCTTAAATCGGCTGTAGTTTCTTAAATAACGCTCCAATTGAGAAAATAGTGAAAAACTGTGATCACTCATATTTCCCACTAAAAATCGATTTTTATATGAAAAATCTTAAATCGGCTGTAGTTTCTTAAATAACGCTCCAATTGAGAAAATAGTGAAAATCTGTGATCACTCATATTTCCCACTAAAAATCGATTTTTATATGAAAAATCTTAAATCGGCTGTAGTTTCTTAAATAACGCTCCAGAAAATAGTGAAAATCTGTGATCACTCATATTTCCCACTAAAAATCGATTTTTATATGAAGAATCTAAAATCGGCTGTAGTTTCTTAAATAACGCTCCAATTGAGAAAATAGTGAAAATCTGTGATCACTCATATTTCCCACTAAAAATCGATTTTTATATGAAGAATCTAAAATCGGCTGTAGTTTCTTAAATAACGCTCCAATTGAGAAAAAAACGAAAATCTGTGATCACTCATATTTCCCACTAAAAATCGATTTTTATATGAAGAAACTTAAATCGGCTGTAGTTTCTTAAATAACGCTCCAATTGAGAAAAAAACGAAAATCTGTGATCACTCAAATTTCCCACTAAATTCGATTTTTATATGAAGAATCTTAAATCGGCTGTAGTTTCTTAAATAACGCTCCAATTGAGAAAATAACGAAAATCTGTGATCACTCATATTTCCCACTAAAAATCGATTTTTATATGAAGAATCTTAAATCGGCTGTAGTTTCTTAAATAACGCTCCAAACAAGAAAATAACGAAAATCTCATATTTGCCACTAAAAATCAAATTTTATATAAGGAATCTAAAATCGGCTGTAGTTTCTTAAATAACGCTCCAATTGAGGAAATAACGAAAATCTGTGATCACACATATTTCCCACTAAAAATCGATTTTTATATAAAGAATCTTAAATCGGCTATAGTTTCTTAAATAATGCTCCAATTGAGAAAATAACGAAAATCTGTGATCACTCATATTTCCCACTAAAAATCGATTTTTATATGAAGAATCTTAAATCGGATGTAGTTTCTTAAATAACGCTCCAATTGAGAAAATAACGAAAATCTGTGATCACTCATATTTCCACCTAAAAATCGATTTTTATATGAAGAAACTTAAATCGAAAATCTGTGATCACTCATATTTCCCCCTAAAAATCGATTTTTATATAAAGAATCTTAAATCGGCTGTAGTTTCTTAAATAACGTGATTCTGTGATTTCCCACAAAAAATCGATTTTTATATAAGGAATCTAAAATCGGCTGTAGTTTCTTAAATAACGTTCCAATTGAGAAAATAACGAAAAGCTCATACTCATATTTCCCACTAAAAAACGATTTTTATATAAGGAATCTAAAATCGGCTGTAGTTCCTTAAATAACGCTCCAAACAAGAAAATAACGAAAATCTCATATTTGCCACTAAAAATCAAATTTTTATATAAGGAATCTAAAATCGGCTGTAGTTTCTTAAATAACGTTCCAATTGAGAAAATAACGAAAATCTGTGATCACACATATTTCCCACTAAAAATCGATTTTTATATAAGGAAGCTAAAATCGGCTGTAGTTTCTTAAATAACGCTCCAATTGAGAAAATAGTGATAATCTGTGATCACTCATACTTCCCACTTAAAATCGATTTTTATATGAAGAATCTTAAATCAGCTGTAGTTTCTTAAATAACGCTCCAATTGATAAAATAGTGAAAATCTGTGATCAATCATACTTCCCACTTAAAATCGATTTTTATATGAAGAAACTTAAATCGGCTGTAGTTTCTTAAATAACGCTCCAATTGAGAAAATAACGAAAATCTGTGATCACTCATATTTCCCACTAAAAATCGATTTTTATATGAAGAATCTAAAATCGGCTGTAGTTTCTTAAATAACGCTCCAATTGAGAAAATAGTGAAAATCTGTGATCACTCATATTTCCCACTAAAAATCGATTTTTATATGAAGAATCTAAAATCGGCTGTAGTTTCTTAAATAACGCTCCAATTGAGAAAATAGTGAAAATCTGTGATCACACATATTTCCCACTAAAAAGCCATTTTTATATGAAGAATCTAAAATCGGCTGTAATTTCTTAAATAACGCTCCAATTGAGAAAATAACGAAAATCTGTGATCACTCATATTTCCCACTAAAAATCGATTTTTATATGAAGAAACTTAAATCGGCTGTAGTTTCTTAAATAACGCTCCAATTGAGAAAATAGTGAAAATCTGTGGTCACTCATATTTCCCACTAAAAATCGATTTTTATATGAAGAATCTCAAATCGGCTGTAGTTTCTTAAATAACGCTCCAATTGAGAAAATAACGAAAATCTGTGATCACTCATATTTCCCACTAAAAATCGATTTTTATATGAGGAATTTTAAATCAGCTGTAGTTTCTTAAATAACGCTCCAATTGAGAAAATAACGAAAATCTGTGATCACTCATATTTCCCACTAGAAATTGATTTTTATATGAAGAATCTTAAATCGGCTGTAGTTTCTTAAATAACGCTCCAATTGAGAAAATAACGAAAATCTGTGATTACTCATATTTCCCACTAAAAATAGATTTTTATATGAAGAATCTTAAATCGGCTGTGGTTTCTTAAATATCGCTCCAATTGAGAAAATAACGAAAATCTGTGATCACTCATATTTCCCACTAAAAATCGATTTTTATATGAAGAATCTAAAATCGGCTGTAGTTTCTTAAATAACGCTCCAATTGAGAAAATAACGAAAATCTGTGATCACTCATATTTCCCACTAAAAATCGATTTTTATATGAAGAA